TTTTAATACTTTCTGATCTGAAGAGTGTCTTTTTCTCTTTGGCTTTCCTAGAATTAAACAGAATTGATCACTGGTTGGCTTTTTGTCTTATTCTCCATCACCTTCTTATTTCTGTGTTTCATCTTGAACCTATCACTTCTTGATATTAAGCCAAAACTACTTCTGGCATATCTGGTTTGGTGTCTGTAATAATATAATAAAAAACACTTGTGACTATTCTGGAGCATGGCTTCTTGTTGCCATGATTTTGGTACCTTAGATGCAGCCAAACCACAAATGTACAAAATTGAAGCAGAAACTCTCAATTCTAATTCTGGCGCCTTTATTACAGTTTTGGACAAGTCGTTAATGCCACTGCCTCAGTTTCCCCATCTGTAAAATGGGGCTAATAACCTCTACCTCAAGATTGTTGAGAGGATTAGGTAGGCTATGGGAATAAATGCTATTAAGTTGTTAGGTATGGTGATAACGTCTTGTTAGGTATTAAGGGAAAGTTTTTTTCAATGTGTGAGGAGGAAGAGAATTAGAGCTGCAAAGAATATGATACTGAAGAGTGGCTACATGAACTGGTCATATGTGCATAATATAGGACTTCATTATATCTACTGCTTACTATCCATGAGCACTGTAGCGTAGGACATTAGATAAAACTTGAAACAAACATGCACTGGTATTTTGTTTTTTCAACTACTGGCAGTTGTGGTGACCCTGACAAAAGAGCAAAGGAATCGTATTTTCCTTGGTTGTACTGAGAATCTACAAGGAAAGAAGAGAGTGATTAAATTTTAACCAAGCTGGTAAAATAGTTCTGCACCAGAATAAAATGTTTAACAAGAGTCTGACCCAGTATCTCAGCTCTAAAATAAAGTGGTGCAATTCAGTGAACAGTTCTGACTGGGCTATGTGGAGGGAGCAAGGACTAATGTTGTTCCAGCTATCTAAGCAGGAGTTAAATACAAATTTCTGTACAAGAATAAAATTGCATGGCCTTCTGCAGGCAAAGCTTGAAGACACTGGTTGAGTAATAAAGTACATCAAGAATGACTTAGCAGCTATGCTCTCAATGTTCTTGCAGTTGTTGTTTGAAAACAGAAGGGTGGGGGGGGGGGTTCCATAATTGTTTGATTTTCACCTGCTTCTGTGTAACCTGTTATCTGACTGGCTGCTGAATACAGTCTGCCAAAAATAAATACATTATTAGAGCCTGCACTGCTTGTTGTTTCTCAGTAGACTGTCAGATAGGCATGTATAGAGCAATAATACCATAATGCAAAACCAAATGTTGCAGTTCCTTGTTGTGAGAGGACTGGGACAGAAAAAATAGTCCTTCAGCTCCACCCTTCCACATTAAATTTAAGTGCAAGTTTCTGTCAACTGCTACTCGGGTTCCATCCTCCTCTTCAGCCAGCTCCTTACAGGCTTCTGAACACAGTGCTGGTCTTCCTTGAAGCTGCAAAGCAGTCTCTTGTTAGACCGACGGACTTATTTAGGCTCACAAATATACATACCACTATTGTGAAACAGTGGCCTATGGGTTAAAAATATTTAGACTTTAAATTTGCAATATAGCCTACTAGAAAAGGAGAACAAGAACATGGAGTACATAGGGCATGTAGTTGTCAGCATTAAAACTATTATTTTCTCATTGTGTTCTGTTAGCTTCCTGAGGGGAAAGAAGTACATATCTTCTGCCAAAGTTAATAGCTGAAGTTGTACAAGAAGGGTCATGGATTAACAGAACTGCTGACTTCAAACAAGAAACCAGGACAGCAGAAATGGAGAAGGTATCTGGCTCTGGCCCTGAGGCAGAGGTCAAGTCAAAACCAAAAGAATTTAAGGCAGAATGGTAGAAAAGGAAGCAGGTGTTTCTGCTATGGCCAACGATGAGACATCTTGCCTACAACTCAGGATCAAAAGAAAGGAAAAACTAACACTGGGGAAGCAGGTTAAGGAGGAATGAGAGTGTCAAAGAAGGAATGGTGAAGGTTGACATTTACCAATAGTAGAACTGGTGGCTTAAGCCTTTTGAAGGTAGTGATATTATCTGGAAAATGGAGAAAAGAATCAGAAGAGCTTGAAGCTGAGCTATCTCTTGTGGCAGAATTTCTCACAACAGTGAGTGCTGGTAATTTAGTCTAAAAAGGATGTAGGATTAGACAGCAAACTGAAGATCAGGACAATTGGCCTATGTGCAATCTTGTTTAGGCTCTTGCTGATGTGTGTCTTTTCTCTATATGATAATGTTGTTAGATGAATTTTCCTCTTTGAAGAAAGATTTGTAGCTGCCTATGACTGAAGAAATTACCTTGAGGTTGTGAGCGAAGTAAAAATTAAGTGTTTTGAGTTTCCTGAGGATACTGACACGAGAGGAGAAATCCTCCAATGTGCTCATCCCCATGGTGTTCAGTAGCTTTCTAAACTGCTACAGAATTGGTCCAGTTCTGGGCTCCACAGTGCAAGAGAGACAAGGAGCTACTGGAGAGAGTCCAGCAAAGAGCTACTACGATGATTAAGGGACTGGAGCATCTCTCATAGGAGCAAAAGGCTGAGGGACTGAGGGAGCTGCAACTGTTCAGCCTGGGGAAGAGAAGACTGGGGGTTGGGGGCGGCAATCTTATCAATGCGTATAAATAGCTGAAGGGAGGGTGTAAAGGGGATGGGGCCAGACTCTTTTCAGTGGTGCCCAGCAATAGGACGAGAGGCAACGGGCGCAAACTGAAACGGAGGAAGTTCCAGTTGAACATAAGAAAAAAGCTATTTTACTGTGAGGGTGACTGAGCACTGGAGCAGGTTGCCTAGAGAGGCTGTGGAGTCTTCAAAAGCCATCTGGACAGGGACCTGGACAACCTGCTCGAGGTGACCCTGCTTGAGGTGGGGGGAGAGGGGGGTTGGAGTAGATGATCTCCAGAGGACCCTTCCAACCTAACCATTCTGTGATTGTGAGAATCGGATGTTTTGTCATGTAGGTTACTATTTGTGGTTCAGATGCCTAATTGTGTTCCACCTCTCTGTCCTGGTGGTACCCAACCCTTTCATAAAGCCAAGTCCAAAAGATTCATGTAAGAGTATGTGCAACGTGACAGCATCTGCTTCATTAAGGTTATCAGATCAAGGACATTTCAGTTGAAGGTGAGTCATAAGTAACAGGGAAAGCAATAAATAAAGCGCACAGAGGCACAAATCTAATAGACAAGGGCTAACAGAGACAGTGACAAAAGACCAAAAGTCTCCAGTCACTAATTGATGCATCATTAAAAAACTATGGGTATAGCTTTGGGGAAGACGAACCTGGACGTTGTAACAGATAGGAAAGGAGGGTAGGGAACAAGAAAAACGTGAAGATTTTTGATATTAGAGGGACTATGCAATACTTCCTAAGGAATGTTTAGGGGAAGAGGTTTGGGAAGGAACAAAGTTGGGGTCTAGAGAGGAGGGGTAGGGAGACCAGCGTGTTCCTATTTTCCCCTAGCCTGTGTGTGTAATTCAGAGCAAACTGGAAATTTGGTCATGGACATTAGGCAGGCTGAGAGCCTATGCTGATATTCAAGGGATCCGTGAGTGCGTTTGAGATTAGAGTGTGATTGCGCACATCCATTTGCTAGCAAGCATCAGGCTGGATTAGCTGTCAAATGGGAGCTCCGTATAGCAGGTAAGGGGGTCCAGCATCCAGGCATGAATATTAGACGGCCTATAGGGCCCATGCTGGTATTCAAGGGATCCACAAACGTGTGCGTGCTTGTCAATGTCGAGCGTGAAGGCGTGTGTGTTTTCACCAGTAAACTTCACTCCTGATCAGACAAAGGAGGAAGGGTATTTGACTGTCTGTACATGTTTTAATGTGAGTCCTGGTGTTGTTAAAGGCAATGCCCTGTCTGCAGACAGTTGCGTTACTGTCCTCCGCGCGTGCGTGTCTCTAAGACATATGCTCGGCCTTGCTCGGGTTAGACCTGCCCACAGGAAAGCAGCAGCTTCATCCAGGAGCCGGGATGGAGAAACCCTGCGGGCTTGGGCTCCGCAGCTGGAAAGGAGTCCCCGGCCCGGCTGGAGCGCGCCAGAGGCAGCAGCCTGGACGAGAGCCGCTATCAGATCCGTGAGACTGTTGCACTCAGTGTGATCGCACACAACGCTCAAATAACTGCTTCGCGTTGGGGACGGAGGCTTCAACGCAAAAACAAAAACAATTCTCAGGCCTTGGTGACCCAGAGGAGGAAGGACGGGCGCGGCGCCGGCCACGGAGGGCGCAGCGGGCTGGGGGC